TTTGCCCTTTCAGAAAACCCAAGCTTACCTTTTTTTTTTTTCCTTCTTGTTTCTAAATCTGTTTTTGGGGAGAAACCTGATCATTTGAGACTTCCCCTGTGAGTCTAAGGGAAAATGTAGTCTCCTCTGGGGAATACGTTTCTGCTTGGTTTTCTGTGGGGCAAGGAGTGGCATGATCTCCTGTTTAGCATTTGGTAGGCATAGCAACAGTTCCTAGCACCCTTGGAATTCAACAATAGGCATTATTTTTCCTATTAAACCCCAAAGCAAACAACGTTTGCCTATAAAGAGATAAAGACCATAGTCTGTGGTCTTCCTCACTCCTTAGTGGGACCTGCCAACACTCATGGGCCAGTAGTTAGGAAAGAACTGGTGGTTGGGTACAGGTCAGGGAGACTGTCATGCCCATAGCTCACGTTGGTTCCTTCCCCTGTTGGGAGAAAGGCCTCAACTCTGAAGAAACTGATGTAGTTGCTTCCTGGGACCCTGGAAATTGGCATCAAGTGCCCTGCTACTGTGTGCAGTAGTTTGTGTATGTGTGCCTGCACATATGTGTGCATTATATGTGTGCCTGGTGTCTGAGGAGGTCAGAAGAGGATGTCAAATCCCCTGGAACTAGAGTTATAGATGATTTTGAGTCATCAAGTGGAATTTGGGCATCAAACCAGGGTCTGCAGCAAGAGGATCACATGTGCCTAACCACTGAGCCATTTCTTTTCTCCTGATTTTTACTGTTTAGCAGAGTAAGGAGACACTATGATCCAACTTCAACCTGCCCATAAAATGAGGCTGCCACTACCCCTTCCTCTCTTACCCATGTGATAGCATGTTCCTCCCCTGAGACAGATAGAACTGGCTCTGGTTCTGTCCTGAGGACAGGAACTCCAGGGACAGCTGCTTCTGTTAGGTCGAATACATTTCCTGTTGATTTGATTAGTTTCCCTCCAAGAAATGCATTTACAGAAGGAAGGGAACTTTTGCAGGCATGCATTTGCACAGGCAGCCATCCTCCTACACACACACACACACACACACACACACACACACACACACACACACGAACACACTTTCTCCCCATCCACCCACAAAGCGTCAGTCACATTTAGAATTTGCACAAATGCACACCCTCCCTCATACATCACAACGCACACCCTCTCACCCACCTACACATCTCTTCCACAAAATTCACACCTGCTCACATACCCCTAGAAGCACATTCCTATGCTATGCTGGGGGGAGGGGGACAGGCTGAGTGGGTTATAAGAACTCAGGAACTAGCCAACCTTGTATAGGAGATGAAAAAGCAGATCAGAATCCCACAGGTTTCTCCCTGCCACTTTGGCCCTGTAAGTAGAAATACTGAGAGCCAGGAGGGATATTGGAGTGAAATTAGGTAGAAAACATGAAGCCAGGGCTCCCTGTCCCTCAGGGAAAGTGTGCTCCCTGGCAGGATTGTAATGTCTCAGGCTTGCAGCTAGGATGAAAAAAATTTTTTTTTGTAAGTAGCGAATAAAGCCACATCCATGACTTGTCAAAGAAGACAGTTTAGCTAGAATTCCTTATCAGCTCAGGAATGAAGAAAAGGAAGTAGAGCTGAGTTTGGCCTCTAGATTAACGTCCTCCTGGAAGACTCTTTCCAATGTCAGCTGAAATAGAGAGTCCCTCTTACTGGAGACTCCAAGTCACTTCTGGAGAAGTGAGGGGTAACAGTGTAGAAGGTGTCAACCGCTCAGCCATTATGGCTTCCACTCCAGACTGTCTGCCACTCCAAATTCCAAAGCAATGGATTGTGGAAAAGAGCAGATTTGTGTGGGTTTTAGTTTTCCTTCCTTTTTTTCCTTCAGGAAAGGGTCCTGGAGCCATCTAAGTTAATTTCCCAAGGAAATTGGTAGAGAGCTCGGCAGAAGTCAGGCCCCTCTTATCCAACTGTTGACATATCTTCCTGTGCTGCCGCCTGGGGGCGCCCCCAGCTGGGTCTGAGATTGCCGCCAGCACTGCTGTTATCATTAAGATAATTAATAAACAAGCACTGATGGGGCCAAGTGGGGGAAGAGGGAGGCTCCTGCTGCTCAGAAGGAGAATCCCTGGAAAGATCCAAAGAGTGCCGCTTGGGACAGTCTCACAGGTTAATTCCTTCTCCCCATCCCAGGTCCTCTGCAAAGGGCCTTGTGGGTCCGCCTCTAGGGGGCAAGTAGAGGTGAGGACAATAGATAGGACTTGGCAGGTGTCATTTGGAACCAGTTCTGCATCTTCCTGACAGGATGTCTGTGGGCAGGGCCACCTCCAGTGATTACTGGTGGTGGAACAGGCAATTATTCATCCCTTTAACACGTATCTGCCTATTTTTTTTCCTATGGGGTGCCTACTGTGCGCAAGGTATTCTACCAATGATAACAGATGTTTCACTGGCTAGTACGAAGACAATGCCAGTGTTCACACTATGCCTTACAAAGTGCGGGGTAGAAAGAGGAAGCAAGTAGGAAGAATGACAGCCCCCTCCCCCCCAATAAACGGTGTTTTGGCTTTGTCCTGTGTAGGGTAGCAGTGGGGATAGAGATCTGACCATTGTTAAAGAGATCTTGGAGAACTCTAGACGTACGACAAACTGGAAAACACCCTGGGAAGGTGGGCAGGAGAAAATGGTCTTTCTGATAGAATACTTGGCGATAAAAGGTAGGCTCCAGAGAACGAATAAAGAGAAAACTGGATGAAAAGCTCAACGGAAGAGGTACGGGGATGCTAGCAGGTCTTGGTGGGGAGCTGTCACAGCCGTCTCGGGGCACTTGAGGGTTTCGGTGTCTAGTAGGTGCTTTATGTTCCTGGAGGGCTGTGCGGGATTCTGAGGTCGGGATCTAGAACAGTGTTGGGGTGTGGCAGGGGCTTCCTGAGCGGTTCTGAGGAGAGGATGCGGGGCGCCGCGCTGGAGACTGGAAAGTATTTGGGGAAAAGGAGGGGCGTGGCCGGCTGCCTCTCCAGGGAGCCAGGCAGCGG